ACTAGCCTTATTCAGACTTTTGAATTTCGTGGTGTTCCAGGGAGCCCCTGGCCACGTGGTTGGCCCGGAAGCCCACCTGCCCGGTCCAGAGCAACATCCTGAAGAGCCAGCCTGTAAAATAAGCACCTGTTTCACTTTTGAATAAACTCTACACCTCTCTCCCTGCAAAGAAAAACCTTGAACATTCACGATGCCAGTGAAGAAAGTATTAAAGGTACCGCAATCTAATTGGAAACAACTTTTTTTTTTTTTTATTTTCCATGTGTTATGGAAAATGTTGGAAGAACTGACATTTAATGAAAGTCATCTTTTATTTGCCATCTCCCTGACTGAACTAATGCGTGGCGGTCAGCCCCTCCCAAGGGCACTGATGATGTGTAAGGCTCGCTCTCTGCTGCCCGTCCCTGGACATGGTCATCTGCTCCCCAAGTACCAAGCTGCCTCCGGGTCAGCTGAGGACGAGAGGTTTCGCTCTGGTGCCTTTTGGTTTTGATCTAAGTATTGCCTTGTCATCCACTCACTCCCTTCTCCCTGCAGAGAGGTGATGGACTTTGCATTACAAGATGGACTTTGCATCGCCCTGAGAAATCAGGGGATCTATCTGCAAGTAAGGTTTTTAATGATCCTGTGTTTCTGAGCGTTGCTCATTGATAAGCATTTTGGAGTGGTAAAATACTATTCATAGTAGTCGCCAGTAGAAAAAAAAAAAGGATAAATGACTCACCAACAACCGACACATAACGTATGGTAGCTGGTCGAATAATTACTAAAAGTAGGAAGAAGTTTGAAAGATTCCATCTAATGCCTCTGGGCACTGTGATAAAGGTCTGGGTGGACATTAAAACATGTTCTTACTGGTCAAGAACCTTCAGATCTGTGAAAATGTATAGTATGGGCAATGAGGACCACAGACTTATTAGCATATGTGTGTTTTTACCCTATCCAATTTAAAGAAACAGTTTTATAAAGTGTTGGGAAAATACTATGTTTGGTAAGGGTGAGTTCAAAATATTCTCATACCTCTAAATTTGCAGAAATGGCTCTATTAAAATTAAAGTGTTAATGGCGGGTGGACTCTGGACACCTGACAGATTGCCGATGAACAATGTTCTGGGACTTTGCAGTGGGGAGCGGAGGTCGCATTGCCTCGTTCCCTGTGTGCTCTGTGGGATCGCTCCGTCTCTGCAAAGTCCACATGCGGGAGGTTCAGGAGAGGCCCGACGGTCGCTTAATCCTTCCTGGGTTGGATTTTCACTGGATGCTTCAACCCATCTCATCGCTTTTCTGTAAGAAAAAATGTTCTCCCTCTGTAGCACATTTTAGCTGTTTTTTGTTGTTGTTGTTGTTGTTGTTGTTTGTTTTTAATCCCTCCCTGCAATGTTTTCTAAGCTTAAAAGGTCTTTCTATTTCCTCTAGGAAAGAGGATACTAATATTTCAAAGACGCATCACTGGACTTAATGGGAAATGCTTTCTAAATGACATTGAAGCTGGTCTTTAATCAGAGTTATGCAAAGACTGGGGACAGCACCCTCCGCCCACAACAAATTTTCATGTCATTGATTACATAAACCTTTGCGATTATCACTGCAAAGAAATCCCCTCATTTTTGTTACCTGATATTCTATTCAAAGGAAAATCATTCTGGCTTCTCTCTCTCTCTCTCTCCTCTCCTCTCCTCTCTCCTCTCTCCTCTCTCCTCTCTCCTCTCTCTCTCTCATCCTCTTACTTAACAGGTTTCCTTTGGTTTACAATCATTTTAGCTAAAAGTATTTT